TTTATCTGTGTTCGAATCCAACCTGACCAGTCCCCTTACATAGAAGCGATCGTAAATGCAGATTTTGGTTCGAAAAAATCTAGCGACGGAGTTGAGTACGAAAATGTTCAGTGGAAGCAAGTAATCATCGGACAAAGTCAGCATGATAACGGTACTATTAAGAACGACCACCCATTTTATGGAAGGATTTCGAACTTAAACTTCTGGTTTAACTCTCTCACTGATGACCAAATTACACATTGGTACAACAGTGGTCAGAAAATTTACATGCCTAACATTCTAAAATGGCCAGAACTTGGTTCTTCTTCGAAAAGATTTGGAGACGTTCATTTTGTAAAGGTCACTTCTGCTGAGAGACGTAAGTTCAATGGACTTGATACTTCGCCTTATCATACTAAATCTAGAGTTTAATTTATCCAGGAATAGTGAAAGGAAAGGGGTGGAGAGTAGCAAAGTGTTACAGGAAAGCCGACTGGAAAAGATCTGTAGGTCTGACAACGAACTTAAAGGAGCGGGGAGGGTTCCAGAGCCCCCTGACCTTCCCTCTGGATCCGCCATTGTCAACACTTTAACAATGGTTACTAATCTCATTAAAACTGTGTTTTTAATCATTTAACTAAGTTGAATGATCGAGTATACATCCCTGTTATAATGGGTGTATTTATATTTTTCTGTTTAGAATGGCGTAACATTTCGGATGGTGAGTTGGATGTACAAAATACGACTAATGTTCTCGCAACGAAAACTGTTGAAAGTGGATCCGGAGTAGTTATCGAAGTCGAGAGTCAGTCACCAGTCTCATGTATTGGAAGTGATGGAATTGATTCGGCCACAGTTGACGGCGTGTTTATATCTGTACCTGGAAGCTGGAAACGAATCAGTTACAAGCAAACGTTCTTGGAAACTCAGAAGTGTTTTGCATTTTTTGGAAGCGTCCCTAACTGGTAAGATATTCATTTCATGTCTTTTATGTCCCTCATAAGTATGGACCGTGATCTGAAAAGTCACTTGTACAACCGGTGTGAAGACCACATGGAAAGTCACAGAGGGAATGGTGGCGATAACTCGGAATACATTAATTCTAGATCTGGAAAAAGACTTCGGAAGGTCAATGCGCCAACTTTCTCTCTATCTGGGTAACGGTACATGAAATTTTTTCGCAAAATTTTCCACCCCCCCCCCCTCGTTAAACTTATTGTTTCTTTTGGTGTGCGGAGAAACACCTGTGTCTCTCATGAAGTAACTTCCAAAATGCAGTTTTGGAGAAGCTCTCAGGTTTTTGTCTGTCTTCCTCATTTATTCTGAACGGCCTTTACTTCAGACTTTACAAGGCCACGCGAAAAAGAAATCATAACATTATTAGTTAGCAAAACTAACTAATACAGGACTCAATTTGCGTATTTGGCGTCAAACGCAGAGCTACAAGTGTGCCCACACTCGTAACAATTTGTATCGTTGCTTAGACAAAGCAGTGACTATAGATTCCCGCTAAAGGAAATATTTAGATTTGTAAAAATCCTTGGTTTTCTTTGATCATTGCAGGGCCACTGGTATTTTCACTCCGGGTGTTTCAGAATTCGACCTTAGTCTGGATGAGCTTTGGAAAGAAGAATATCTTGGCCCAAATGGTAATAAACGCATGTGTTTGGGATTTAAAGTTTAGTGGTAACGTTGCCCAGGGAAGTGTGCCTTATAGGCCTTAAGAAATTGCTTTAGTATGTTTTTTTTTTCTTCAATCCTCAGATTCAAATGATGGAACTGTTGAAACTGACAATGTGATGTGTAGTTTGAAACTTAGACTATTTAAAGCTCACCGTTACATCTGTTTGTTTAAGAAAAAAAGTGGATCATCACGGTGTCATATGTGAGAGTAATATAGGCACAAGGAAAATATCTGTGTAAAGTTCAGCCGTTGAATTGATGATAACGATAACCATGACAATGATGATGATTTGTCTCCCTGTTCTTTCAAGGTAATCATTTTGATGGTGTGAATACTTTGTGCGGGGATGAGCACTTCTGGATGGTAAATCACCCGAACACACCAGTAGCTGGAGTCAGTTTAAGACGAAAAGGCAATGGGTCAAGTGCGGGGATATCCACCTTTGGCAAGTGTGGGAAGTTCAAGTTCAAGATTTCTGATATTGGTGTTCTACAATGAAAATTCAGTATCAAGTCCTGGCTAATCCAAGTTGTTATTGTCGACACAAGTTGCAGTCCTCTCCCCATGCCGATGCTTTTGATGTCACGACAGAAAAGTCACGTGGCATCCCAAAGAACGACATGGAAGGAGATTAAACCCGTTGCTCGTTGCTGCCTTTTAGCGCGTTAGACTGGCCAGGACTTGAGCCCGCGTCAGTTCAATCGAAAAGTTTGTGCAGTAAATTACCCTTAAGCACATCAGCACTATGAAAGTAAATTGCACTGAAAGCTGAGCTGGAAATCACTTCACGTTGAAACAATCGTCGACATTGATAGAACACAGACATCAACTGAACACAGATGTCGTCCTTCACAAACTGTTGAGACCTGCTGGTAAAAACGAGTAGACCAATTCCCTACTGATTATACTA